TCCAGCCCCGCCACTGATCCCATCCCATACCGACATCATTCTGTTGCACAGTGGTTTGGCAAATGTGTTTAACGTTTGTCAAGAGGAAAAAGCTACAGTGAGAAGAGGGACTATGGTTGTCTTCTCTCCCATGCAGTTTCTTCCTGTGGAGTTAACACTGCTTTTGTCACACCTTCTGTTGCTCTTTCACTTCACCAATGTCCAGGTTAAGACTTTTGAGCCAGCAAGGTTGTTAACTTGATCTTCCCATCCATAGAGGCAGTGAGGCAAGTCCCGCAGTCCATGGCCGTGCTCCAATCCACTGTGACAACGGGAGCTCGGTGTCCACCCAGGGAAAGGCAGCTCTCCAGAACCTTTTCCTCACCATTTAACTGAAAGCAGAAAAGCACAAGCTTTTAAGGAGGCAAGTATCTGCAGTGGGGGCAGCACCCCTAGAGCTGAAGCCAATGCCTGCCACAGACTGCATAGCCCTATCCAAATGCATAATGAAGCAGAAAATTGAAGAGATCTTTAGATGTACGTAATACACACGAGGAAACAAATTTCCAGTCTCATGACAGAAGCACGTATTCTCAAGCAGCTCAGCTTCTGACATCAGCTGAGCTTCAGTAATTGAACAAGGCAGGCTAAGAGCACACACTGATAAGGAGCACGTAAGCCTAAGCTACAGCTCATGTTAATGTGGGTGCTCTGAATGCTCCAGATGCAAAGTCAAAAATGCATCTAACCTGCCTTGCAATGGCTTATAATGGATGGGTATTGACTCAAGGGGAGGCAGGCAAGGGGCATGCGATCAGTAACTGCTTGTTACCACAGCACAAGAAATTTGGGTACTTGGAACCATTCAACCTTACCCTTAATTTAATTTCACTACACAATAAGAGGAGAGAATCAGGGCGAAACTAACGTAACATCAGCAAGAACATAAGACAGACTAAAGATGAGCATCAGTCAACAACCACACATTTTGCATTAACTGGCATGCATCATTATATTAAAAACATTAAAACCTTGTCCTAGGCACTTGGGCACTAAGGAAAACTGCTGCAGCTAAAGCTTTAAGTACAAGGACCACACATACGCTACCTACTTACAAAGGGCCAGATGCTTACAGAGAGTTCAAACACCAGCTAAACACCACACTGTTAAAATGCACACTGTACTAAACTGAGCAGCAACTTTCCCAGAGCAGGGATGGGGAGGTGCTGCTTGAGAACTTCCAGTGGCTCCTGCTGCAGCCTTGTAATAACAAGAGCTTGTATGGGTATGTATGAGTACTCCCTGTCACTGCTCAGACTTACCTTAAAAATTACTCCCCCCGTAGAAGAACATGTCAACATATAGTTGCCCTCAGAGTCAAAAGCAAAAAGCCTTCCTCGTGGGAACTGGACTTGCTTGTAGCCACTGTACCCAGACAGAACAAAAGGACCTGTAGCTTCACTGGGAAGATCGTACTCAGACACCTTCAAGCCACTTTTATGAATATTCCACTGAATAAACTACAATGACAAAGAGAGATGACAAAAGCCCATAGTTAAACTGACTGGGATGAAAGCAGAGGGGCCATTCATAATTTTTAAGCAAAGTGGCTATTCCTCACAAACAGAAGATGGCATTTTGACATCTGTATCTAAGTGGCTATATTTATAAAACACAGGCTGCAAGTGCGACTATCCAGGCACACATATGCCCTACGCTGCCTATGTGTCCTTCCACAATGCATGCAGGATCCTGGTGGGAATTCACCTAACTCTCATCAGCCAATGACCCAAACCTTCAGTCTTCCTCCCTGAGCCACATGTCTACTGCTCAAGACTGTGGAACTGCAGAAATGGAAGCCTTTATTATAAGCAACAGGAAGCTCCTGATAAGGAAATCTATGTCAAGTGGTCAAGTATCTGCTCCCTGATGAATCCCAGATTTTAAATGTGGTGATCTCAGGGGCACAGAAAGGTCATCTTCTCATGGATTCCCTAGGAAGGGGATGTCACCAGCAGCAGGATTTGCAGACAAGGTCCAAGACAGCTCCAGATGTTAATATGTTTTCCAGCCACTCTCTCTGCAGGGACTGCAGGCAGCAGGGTGGTGCTGCACACATAAGATGACAGTTAGCAGCCTGCAGATCCTCCAGATTCTGAGAGTATTTCTACTGCTATCCCCCCATAGGGAGAAAACTACAGAAGCGATCTCACTGCCAGCTGACCAGTAAAAGGTCACTCAGAGCCTACCTTGCCATCCTCGCCTATGCTGTAGACTGTGTTCTCATCATAGCTGAACTCAACGGAGTAGACTTCCCCATCGTGTGCCTTCCAGCTCATGGCGCATTCGTGCTGCTGCATATCTGAGGGGAGAACCAGGACTGAACACTCCTCGTACTCGCACAGAGCTGAGAAGAGGGAGGCCCTTTATGTTCATAAGCTCTCTGTCCCAGCCCTCTAAACCAGCCTAGAGGAAGCCCAATCCAATCCCAGCACCCTGTGCTTATTCTCCAGCATGTGGCTTTTACACTGTCCACAAAAATCATTGCCTGTAAGTAGTCACCTCTTCCTCCAGCTTTAACAGGGCTGATCACATGCTCACTCTCAACTGCAGGCATTCTACCTTCAAGCCCCATGGCCACCTTTCTTCTTCTCCTCCCCTTGCTGTCCTGTCCACCCTCACAGCTGCTGAAAGCTCTGTCCTCCCACTGACATGGGACTGCAGCCTCCAGCTCAGCACCCAGGCCAGAAGCAGTTCCCTCATTCACAGAGGAGAGGCCTGAGCTGCCTTCACCACAAGGACAAACCCTGAGAAACAGAAATCGCTCAGGGAAGGATGACATGTGAAGCCCTTGCCTTCAGCTGGAAGATCACACATCAATTCCTTTCTTCCAGACTCAGCCTCTGGCAGTAGTACTGCTATACTGCACAGCCAAGACTGCATGGCTCAAGGGCAAGTTAAGTCTACTCCTCAGCAGGAGGGAAACAACAAATCCAGCAGCACTAGCAGGGCCTCCAGCCAATGCCCCTCTTAGAAAGTTTGTCAATTCACTCCTGAGAGCTGTTGTGGAGAAGAGAAAACAGCTTCCACCTTGGTGTTCTGGCATGTTCCACAGCTGCCTCCCTGCTGGCAGAAGAAGGGTGCTAGGGGCAGCCACCTAAGGACACCAAGGGGACACCTCACTGCCCAAATCCAACCTACCAAAGAGACGAACAATCCCATCTGCAGCCCCAGTGACCAGCAGGTTGCCATTGTGGTTGAAGGCTGTGCAGTTAATAGCAATGGGCTCAGGCTCCAGGGAGAACTGCAGCTGGAAGGGAAAGTCTGCATTAATGCCAAGAAACAGAGCCAGGGGTGCTGAGGAGCTGAACTCCAGAGGAAGCAGGAAAGACAGTAGCTAGTAGCAAGAGCTCCTCCAGTTTGGAGCCCTACGCCTCTCATGACTACAGACTTCAAGGTTAGCAGCTGCATTTTACTGTGACACTAAACCAACAATTCACCTCAACCAAGCCATAGCTTTCTTGGCTGTGGCCTCAAGGCTGCAAAACCACCTTCTGGCAGGTATTAGCTTGAGTATGTTGCTTTCTCCTACACATTAGGGATAGCATTTCTTAAGGGCAAGGGATGGGACAAGAATTCCCTGCCAGAATCTGACCCACCTAAATCAAAACAATGGAGAAGGTGACATGAGAGGAAACCTCTGAAAGAAGCACTTCCCTCAAAATCAGGGAAGGCAGAGGAAATAGCAGCAAAGAAAACCCTTCAACATAGCTCAACTGGAGAAAGCTTGAGCAAAGTATCATTCAATCTACTTGAGATGTTTCCAGTCACAAACCGTGCAGGCCAGATAGAAACAAGGCTATGGACTATTTTGAAGAATCCCTCAAAAAAACCCAACACAGCAGCAAAAGAAAAAAAAAACCACCAAAATCCAACAGCTACTTACACTATTCATTTTTATCCTGCATATGATAGGGGGGAAAAGAGAAGAGGGAAAAAGAAGGGTATTGAAAAGAAAGTCAGCATAATTCAGAAAGAGGGCTTCTACACATGAAAACAGAAGACACTCATTCTCAGCAAGCAGACTGAGAAAGGAAAGAAACCCAGCAAATACCTGCTGCTTCATCGTTTTAGTGTCCCACAGTAGCAGCTTCCCTGGAACTTGGTTCATGCTTTTGCCCCCGGAGCTGACTGCTGAGAATTCCATGTGGGAGATGGGGCTCTGGGCTGCTGCAGAACAGACAAAGGAGGCACCACTTGGGCTGCAGGCAAGCGAGAGGATCCTGAAACACAGCAAACAGTCTGAATCACCTCTCTCCAGAAGCTGCCTCAAGTGCAACACCTGACTACAAGCTCTCCCATTAAAACCCTGCAAGACAGGGTACACGGTAAAGGAGGGCAGGATTCATGGGCTCAGACAGATTTTGAGCGTCTCCCATTTAACTAAGCAGTTTGACCCTACCCAGACAGGGACTACCATCTGGATGAAGGCTAGATAGTCCTGCAGTTGCAGGAAAGCAGCAGGAACATTGAAACATCACCTACCTTTTCCACAGTCAAAACCAACAACATTTATATTTATAATTGTATATAAAAATCAGTATTCCAGAGTTACCTGGGCATGTCTTCATCAATGCTGATTTCACAGAGATTCTTCTTTGCTTCTGTGTCATAAAGACGAACTGTCCCAACCCCACTGCCAAGCAATAGCTTGAAACCAGGAAGGAGGAGATGGAAGGAGTGTGAGTGAGGAGTACAATTATGCTGTCCAACAACCACCAACACCAGAGTAATTTTTTTTCTATTTATGCATTTGGATTAAGCATCACTCCACTAGGGTACATCCTGTCTTTCTGTGCATATCACACTGCGTGGAACTACCACAGAGCCACAGAAGTCAGAGTAAAACCACTGCTTTCCAGTGAGAAAAAGATCTGATAGGCACCAAGGTGGAGTAAAAGCCACTTTCTAGAGTATGGCTCAGCATTATAGAATGCAAAAAATATGTAAAGTCTCAATAACTAGGGGAGCAAGGAAAGTGTAACACAGTATTAACAATCCAGGTTTAATAGAAAACCAAGTAGAAGCCACCTCCTTTCATCCAAGGGAGAATGAAATCACTCAGAAGGGCTCAGACATTCTCTAGCAGTGCTGGCACAATTTAAATAAAAACTAAAACCATGGAGGAATGCATTATCAAAGAAAATGAAACAAGCCAAATCCTTCTCACTTCAGAACCTGATTTGCTGCTGAATCCCCATATATTTCAGAAAGAAGAATCTTTCTGTCAGTAAGCAGGAAATAAACTCCACAAAGCAGAACCATCAGAACAACAGCACAAACAACTTCCTTCCTATGAGCAGAAGAAAAGAAAGAGACAGGCTGCAGCATCAGCTCTTCACAGGTGGCATTTTGGGGTTAGCAGCAACACATTGCCAGTGCCAGAATGTGAACAATGCTCCCTCAGTTGCAGGCCTGTCTTCTCACACAGCCCTGTCTCTTCGCCAAGGGAAGGCATGAAACACCAGCAACAGTTCTGGGACTCAGAAGAATGCATATAATTGAAGGCTCCTCTCTAGTAACAGAACTAGAGAAAAAAGTGCTATAGGAAACATTTAAACTGTCATGATATTTAAACAAGCCCTGAACTCTTTATGCACACACCAACCCCCAATTTGTAAGGTACCAGTAAAAAACTGGCCACGGAGCCCTTTTCACACCTGCACAAGCAGAATGCCAACACCTACATCCCTGCTCCTCAGCCCTGCTCTCCCTTCTCTGCTTCTGGCTCAGGGTGCAAGTAAAGCTCCACAGCTCCTTGCTGCAGGGTTCCCCATGTGCTGTTGTACCAGGTCTGCCTCTTTACAAGTGGCTGCCTGCTCTGCCTGGAGAGAAGCACTTCTCTTAAAGAAGCTACTTCTACCCTGCAGCTGTATCCGCACTGCAGCTTGGGAACTTCTGTCTCAGGGCAACCAGTGGTGAATTCCTTGCTCAATATACAAAGCACACTCCCCACTCCAGTTTTTCTTAGACCCTGCATGCTTCAGTTCCCCGTGACCCACTAAAATGGAAACTAACTGTTGCCCTGATCTTATCCACAACGCAGCTGTCTAGAAGTTAATATGCAACACGTAGCAACAAAGCACCAAATCATCTGCTGCGACCCTTGAGCCACTGTGCGCAGCCTACTCACCAGCCGATCACGCTTGGTCGCCCATTCCAGAGACAGCAACGGAGATTTGGAAATGGATGAAGCTTTAGTTTGCATGATGGGGTTAAAAGACCAGACTTTGATGACCCCGTCCACATCCAAGCTGGCCACCCTCCGTCCAGAACAATCAACCCTATATGCAGAAGGAAACTGATTGGATATTTTTCTCCCTTAAGTTCTTAGATGAGAGTAGATACCCCAGTAATCCTTCCTCTCCTGGCCACATACCAATTCCTTCTGCAGGAATCTGAACTTCCTTGCACTACTTCCTGTTCAGCCCATAGTAACTCGCACAATAAAGCACACCAAGCTCCACGTGCAAAGTATAATGCCCTTAAGCAATACCATCCTGCTTTCCCTGGGAGCTTCTTCCTGGCTGGCATCTCCCAATCACAAAAATCTCTGTCCATTCTCACTGCACAAGCTACAAGTTATCTTTAGTCACACCAACTCAACTACTCTAAAACTGAGAGTATGTGCACAATGTCCTGGACAGAACAGAGGCTGGGGAAGAGTCCAGACACAGCTGGTCCTCTACAGAGGCTTCTATAAGAACACCTTCTTCTGCCAGTCCATTACCTGCAGTACATGATAGATGAATGGTGCTCCCCATACTCCTCCTGGCTCAGGACAATGAAAGGTTGCTCCTGCCGGACTCCTACAGCCTCTGCACTACTGGTAGACATTTTGGTTGAAGTCTCTGCTTGCTCAGCATGCAGCTCTGAGCATGGCTCTGGCTCAGCTGTACCAATATCTGTTTTCTTCTCAGCACTTTGGCCCTGAAGGAAGAAATCCTGTGTGAAATACAAAGAAGCAGCAGCTCCAGATCAAGCTCTTCAGCCACCCCAGCCTGCTGGGAGAAAAAAACCAAGAAGCTGCACTGAAACAGAAGCATTGTCAGCTCAGCACCCCTTCTGCCAGGGACCTTTCTGAGCACAAGGACAGTGTGTTGCACAATTGCACCATTTAATATGGCCTCCTCAGCTGTAGAGTCCCTTAAATCTCCCTCCATGTGCCCAGACATGTGCTTTCCTGTAAGACTCAAGAGAACCACATCTATGTTTGGCATGCCTCAGCTGATATCAGAGGACCATTTTGATGCCATTAGAGCACAGATTCACAAGCAAATCAACATATTTCAAGGAATTCTTGCATTCGGCAATATAAGTTAAGTCTGTGTAATATGCAGTTCAGTAAACCTGCGCAAAAACTCTTGCTGGATGGTGAGCCCCAGTGGATGAATTATCTTCATATGCCAGAGATCTGGTCTGTGTGTGCTGGGGCAGCCATTGCAGCCAACTGACTGATGACAATGGCAGAGTCAACACGAGTCCAAAAGCTTAAAACCCAATCTGACAGGGCAGACAGAACAACTGCAGTTTTAGGAGGTGAAGGTATCTGCAGGAGACAAGATCTGCACTGCAGCACACAGATATGTTTCAAAGCAGCTTAGTCTCCCCTTGCCACCAGAAGCTGAACAAGCAGCAGATGCACCACACAAGCCAGTAAAACACCTGCAAGCATTCCTTTGATGAACCATCCTCTGAAGATGAAATGCCCCCAAAACGGTATTGGTATTGATGGGTTTGAATCCCTGTTCCCTAACACATCCTTGTCTTATTATTTATAGTAGCCTCACATCTTGAGCAATGGGTCAAACACTGTATCATCAAATCATCTGAAATCACAAAACTGGAAAACACTGGGAAATAAATCCAAGAATGCCTCTTCTGTATTAGTTAATGTGGGGAGATAACCAATGAATGACACTCATGTGAAAGAAATAGTACCTCCTTTCAGTTTCCATTTTGCTCATATGCGTTGAGAAAAATAGAAAGCTAGATAGTATCAGCTTCCCCTAGCACTAACCATTTTAAGAACCCACAGGAGAAAACTCATTTGGGCAGGATGGGTGAGCCAAGCCCACTACCACCAAGGAATGGGAATTACAACAAGGTATTTGAACATAACCATTAAGGTGGATGAAACGTACACTCCCCAGGACCAGGCTGTTGAAAATATCATGGCAAAAGACAACTCTTCTTTCATTTCAAACATCAATACAGATTCCCTTCCAGGGACACAGAAATAAACAAGTGTGGAAGGAATTCATTAACTACAGAGATTAACCTTTGATACAGTTAGATCCGAGTAGCAATTCAGAAGCTTAATGGGAACACTTGCACTTACTTTACCACCTAGCACAAGCTACAGAAATACCAGCCCTCTGCTTCCCAGCCTTGCAGTGTTGCCCGGTACCTGGAAGGTCCCTTTTGACAGCAGTTCCTTCCTTTCCTTCCCATGCTCTTGCAAGCGCTTCTGCCGCTGCTGCAGGGAACTTGACTCGCCTGCCACTAACCCACTGAAGTGGCTCTTCCCATCCTTACAGCTTACTGTTCCTTCTTTTCCTTTGGCACTCTGGAAGGCAAAGGAATGATCTGTAAAAGTTACACTTGTGCTAGGCTGCAGACCAAAGAGCAAAAGAAGAAGCAAAGAAACCAAGCACCTGCAAGGGCTGCACAAGCACCCAAGACAACAGCAGCTGTTTTTTGTGCTGCATTCAGGCCCAGCATACATTTGCAAGGAAGGAAGAAAAGGAGATTTCATTTTTTTGTGTAGAAGCAAAAGCTCGGACCAGTGCTGTGTTGCAAGTTAACTCCTTGGATACTGACACCCTTTAAATGAACACAGTTGAGAATTACCTGGTGATTTGTTGGTTCTTTCTTCCCTAGCAGCAAACTGCCAGTCTGTGTTGGAGAAGCCCCACTTGGATGGGCTGGTCTAGAAGGGCCCTTTTTACTTTGGGAGAGAAAAGAGGACAGAAAACCTCCTCGGGACTGAAGAGAATGTGCAGTACTCCTCTGGCTGCAGGTCATATCACTAATTAAAAAAAACAAAACAAAACAAAACCCACCAAACAGAATATCAAAATGTAGCCAGACAACCTGATCAAAGACCACCCAACAAGCGAACCACCAGCTGTTTGAACCACTGGAGGACAGATGTTCCTTCCTAAGCTGATGGACCACTACGCATTAAAAAACTTCCTGTTAGTGCCTGGAGCAGATTATTATAATTACTGTAACAAAAGCTCACTTCTCAGAGATGCCACTGAGACAGTGGGCTCAACTGTTGCTGAATCCCCTAAAGGGACACTTTAAACTCATTCCACTCCATCTGGTTAGTTCAGAAAGACCCTAAGGGAAAGGCAGGGGAATCCAGATTTCCAAGAACCTATTCAGCTGGGATTCCCAGTTCAAGGCATAAACCAGACTTACTTCAAGAGGCATTCAGTATCCAGTGTTTCACTGAGCACCCTCAGATATTCAGCAAGTCATGTCCAGCAATTTTAAAGCACAGGCCCTCAGTATCTCAAAAACTGGACCCAAGAAAATAAGGAAGTTTAGGTCCATTTCTGTGATTACACACACCTCCCTTCTCAGCCTACAACACCAAGAGCAGCAGCTGCTTCCCAGAACATAACTGTCTGACCTTGTTCTGCTAAAGCTTCCTCTGAGAAAAGAGCAGCACCCAGGGGAAGGAGAATACAGTCACCTTCACTGTGTCTACCTTCTCTTCTAAGAGGGAACTGTTCTAACAAAGTTGGGCTTTGGATTGAGCAGAGACAAGGAAAAAGCAACCACAACTGGCCTTCAGACTAAGAGACAAGTTTCACATACAAGAAATTCCACTTCTAAGGCAAGTTACAAATACTAATACAAATAAAAATACTAATACAAATGGACAAAAATTAAAATGGGAATAAATTAACCCACCCCTCATGTCGCTCTCCCCCATGTGCGGGATGAACATCAGGGCTGTGCACACTAAGCAGTTAAACAAACAAATAACTGAATTAAACTCTGTAGGCAGAGTGCAGAGCAATTATCAAGATAGTTCACCAGACACTTAAGTCTATTTAATCAGACAACTTTTAGCCTAAAACAAAGACTTGTTGTGTGGTCTCTGATACAACTTCTCTTTGTCATTGTCAGCAGGATAATTTGATCAATCCCCCTCCTCACAGAATCACAGAATGTTAGAGATTGGAAGGGACCTCGAAAGATCATCTAGTCCAATCCCCCTGCCGGAGCAGGAACACCTAGATCAGAACACACAGGAACGCATCCAGGCGGGCTTTGAATGTCTCCAGAGAAGGAGACTCCACAACCTCTCTGGGCAGCCTGTTCCAGTGCTCTGTCACCCTCACCGTGAAAAAGTTTTTTCTCATATTCAAGTGGAACCTCCTATGTTCCAGCTTGAACCCATTGCCCCTTGTCCTATCACTGGATGTCATAGAAATGAAAGAGGCACATGAGAAAGTCAAAGCCCCAGCAGTGTTATTAATACCTCGCGATTAAGCTAAAAGTTTGCTTTCAGATCCTTTTAAAGCAAGGAAAAAAAACCTCAACACAATTAATTCAAACACAAAGACTTGCTTTCTATGACTGTGTACTGCGGGAAAAAATAGGAGTTTAAATAACAATTAAACAAGCTGTATCACTGTGTATGGTGCCTAATTTCCACAGATAGGAATACAATAGATGTAGCCATAAACCACACTTTAACTGCAGAAATTCTGTGGGGAATTCTGTACATAACTGAGCCTTGCAGAAGAGAAACTGTTTTCCCCTTGACTTTGCAAAAGCAAGAAAGCACCTCTGTGTAACAATGACCCCTTTGGGTCATACAGTAACAGTGTTTACAAAACAACACAGGGCACTCAGATACTGCACCACAAGCACTAAAGAAAATAAGAGTCAAGAGGCAATCCACTTCATTTGAGCAATACTGCAGGGTATTCCACTGCTACCAGTGCCCTGGTTGCCCAGAACACCTTGGTGTAATGCTGAGTAGAGCAGAATCACTTCCATGTGTGCCTGGGCTTTCACTAATTGGCAAGAATCTCTCTCCCAAATGGCAGGAGATATGCCCATCACGAATTCCCCCATTAAACCCACTTAGGTCACCAGAATTCCTGCCAGGACATTTTTCTGCATTGATTCCCAGGACAGGGAACAAGGAAATGACCTTCCAGGAGCCTCCCTGACCCAATAAAAAGCAGCAGAGCCTGTCCCCGGCTCCTCCCCTGCAGGCACTCACAGCTCAGAGTCCCCTAGTCGATCCATGTTAGCCACATATGCAGGCAGCTTGTGATGTACAACTGCTTGTTCCACCTCCAGTTCCTCTTTCTTCATGCGGGAGGATTCAGCCTGCAAAGCAAACAGCTACAACGAGAGAAGAGAGCCACGTAAACAGAGGGTCACTGAGATTCACCTCCTTCCCACTTGCTAAAGTTTACTCCTTTTATTTCAACAGCCTTAGAAGGGCGGGGAGGGAAGAAAGCAGCTCTGACAGGCTGAGCACCATGTTAGTCCAAGTAGTCAAAACAATCAGTACTTTACACACATGAATCTGGAGCCTACTTAAAACCCTGCACTCCTCTCCTTGGGCTGTTGCTGCAGGGACATTAATGGTGTTGGGAAATGAGAGCCAGCCAGGGCAGAGCTGATCAGCTGCTCCATGCAGGCAGCTCAAGGCCAGGGCAATGCATTTGACTGGCAGTAGTGATGTTTGGGCGCTGAGCCTAGAAGGCAATCTTCCCACAGCCAAGGGTTTGGTGAGCTGGCTGGGTACACCAAGGCCAACGCCACCAGGTCACTCTGAACTCCACTTCCACACCCTGCCCAGCTTCCTCCCAAGCGTGATAGCAGGCTTTATCTCCACATTATGGAGAAAAAGACATTTTTCTTTCCCCCCCCTTAGCAGAGTGGAACCTCAGGATGCAGCTTTCTGTGATGGATGTGGTTTATGCCTGTGACTCTTGTTCACATGAGAGTTTGTCAGGCTTTTCTGTTTCCGTACATTTGTTTTTCAGACATATTTTTTTTTTCCTTTTAACATAGTATTTAAGGAAATTACAGCAAGAAAAAGAAGCTTTAAAAACCCAGCTTGCTATTCATGTATCTGCTTTGTTTCAACAATGAAATCAGAATCACTACTTAATTTCAACTAGCATTGAATTATTTATTTTTTCACACCATTTTTTATTTAAATCTGTATTCTATAGGTAGCTGTTTCCTTTTCTTTATCTGAGCAGTTCTTCAAAAAGGAAAGTCTAGTTTTACCTCTGCCTACGTGCCAGAGAACGTTAACCAGTCTGTGATATCAATCAACATACCACAAACAAGAAACAGCTTTAATTTGACTAAAAGTACAGAACACAAAATTGAAGGAAATAAAAGAGCTCCATTTCAAAGCATACCTTATTCTGCTGTTCCTATTCACTGACCATCTTTGCAGAACGCTCCTGTCAATGTCTGCATGATCCGCTAACTCCAGACAGTACACAGTGACAAGCCTTGCTTTTCTTTCACAATAAAGCCTGCTTTTTCAAATCAATTATTCTATTTTACTTCGACATTTCCAGGACAATTTAACAGTGCTGATCTACCAGAACAGTTGAAACAGGAAGCACAACAACATCATGGTTTTCAACACAGGCGGTAAAGCACAAAACTTATTTTACTGAATTATTCCTACACAGAGAGCTTGGTATGTTTGAGGAAGTGAAACAGAAGTCCTGCTTATGTGAATAAGGCTTCCCACTTGTACGTGATCATCCACATGTGATCTGGAGTTTAGGAAGTTCTTAAACTGTAGATTTCCCGGATCTCTCTAATAGGAAATTATACTAGAAAAGGACTAACCCATGTTATATATTTTTACACCCTCTCTCTAAACATCTGCTGATGATACTGTCGAAAACAAGACACAGAACTGGGCGACATTTTGCCTGAACCAGTCAGCCTTCCTTAGGTTTTACTGTAAGGTCTAGTGCTGGGAAACAGACATTCACTACATTTCCATTAGTTGATCTAAATTTCTTTAAATGCAGTTCAGCCATGGTGAAGCGGCCATTTCAGAAGCAATGGTTTCTGCTTCTTTGCCAGCGGTTATTGCCCATTTCTATTGCTCCATCAGCTAAAAACTGTAAGTGACTGAATCTCTCCATCATATATCAACAGTCCTGGCT